TTGGGGTGTTTAATTGTTTAATTGCCGGTGGGTGATGCGGGGCAGCCCCTCGGCCCCGGGGAGGGGGGTCTTGCCCCGATGGGTTCGCCCCAGTGGGGCCCCCCCGGGCTGCCCACGGCCGGGAGAGGTTCGGTAACACGGCGGCTCTGTCACTGCTAAAAATAACCCCTGGCTCAGAGACAACTTAAAAATACCCTCGATGCAAAGCAAGGTGCAGGCTGGCAGGGTGGGGAGCAGGGCATGGCACGGCTGAGCTCGGCACAGCTCGGCACAGCTCAGCTCAGCTCAGCTCAGCTCAGCTCAGCTCAGCTCAGCACCCACCTGGATCTCGAAGCCGAAAGACTCCTCCGCCTTCTTCTCCAGCGTCACCACCCTCCTGGGGGGACACGGGGATCAGGGACAAGGCAGAGATCCTGGCAACCCCCAACCCACCTGCACAGGCCTTGGGCCCTTCTCAAAACGCTGCTTTGGGGACCCCAAGGACAGGACCCCCCTCCCCAGGATGGGACCCTCCTGCAGGATGGGACCCCCCCAGTTGGCCTTGGCCAGAGCCCTGCAGCCTGTCCAGCACCAGGCAGGGTCCCCACAGGGTTTGGGGATGTCAGGGCCCTCCAGGGAGTGTGACCCCCATCACTGCTCTCAGGTTCCCCTACAAAATCTCCCCCGCTTCCAGTCTTCCTGGTACAGTGTCCCAGGGACCCCAACTCCACCCCTGTGTCCCCCTGTGTCCCTACCTGTGCTCCTCCGGGGACTGGCTCGGGGTCACCCACCTGAACCCCGCGTCCTGCAGCAGAGGAAGAGCCATCACTGGGGGACACCCCAGGGGACATCCCCCCCTGCCACTCACCCCCTCCGGGGACGGCCGAAAACGGGGTGTCCCACCAGGGCAGCACCAAACCCCCGGGGAACACCGGGCAGCACCAAACCCCCGGGGAACACCGTGCCAAGCCGGCACCGAACCAGCACCCGGGAGCCCCCCCCAGCCCCGCGGCCCCCCCCGGCTGGGTGGGCATAACGGGGCTTTGATCGGCGCTCAAAGGCACCCTCAGAGCTGCCCCGCGCTCCCCCCACGCTTTGACGTCAACCGCGCCGCACCCACCCCACGCCGAGCTCGGGGGGGGGGCCCCCGGCCCAGAGGGGCCCTGTTGGGGTCACAAAGTCGGGTTTTTTTATGCAAAACCCCCCCCCCCCCTCCCGGCCCGGACAATGCCCCTGTTGTGGCGGGTGCGGAGGCGTGGGCGGGCGGAGGGGCCCGGCCGGGCACGGCAGGACCCTCGCCGCGGGGCAGGAGGTGACAGGGCTGTCCCCAAATGCCCCTCCGAGGCCGCCGGGAGCCCGGTGCGGGTGGTGTCACCACGAGTGGCACGTGGCTCGTTTTGGTGGCACCGGCTCCCTCCGCGCTGCGCCACGTGGGTGCCACCGGCCCCGCAGGTGTCACCAGGACGGTGGCGGTGGGGCCGTCCCCGACCGCATCCACGGGCGTTTTAAGTGCAAAACCACCCGGATCGGGTGCTTTTGTCACGGGGAAAGTTGCCACCCGTCACTCCGAGGCATCACGTCACGGCAGTGACGGGAAGGTGACGCGGGACGCCCCAGACCCCTTGGGGACGTCTTTGGCGGTGGCCTTGGCCGGTGAGGGGGAGCCGGGACACCGCGCGTGATCCGGGCCGTGCCAGCGCGGCCGCGAGGCCACTTCTGCTCCGGATGTCGGCTCCGCTCTCGCTTCCCCACAAGGCTCAGGAAGCGCCGCGGGGCCGGGGGGGGAGCGTCGGGGCGGTGACAGTCCCAGAGCCACCGCAAGAGGCTTTTCCAGGGGCGTGGGGGGCAGAGGGCCCCGCGTCCCACCAAACCAGACGTGGGGTACCCTGTGCCCTGTCCTCCCCATCCTCTCCACAGCAGACCCGGGGTACCCTGTGCCCCCTGCCCTCCCCGGGGGTTGTGGGGACACGCCTGCCCCGGTGCCAGAGCCACGTACACCAGGGTGGGAGCCTGGCCCTGCGCCCCGAAAACTGCAAGGCAGGACACGGGGAGGGAGCAGGACAGGACGAGGGGCTTGGGGGGGGCCGTTGTGGAACAGGGAAGATATCGCAGAATAACGTGGGGAGGGACCTGGACAGGACGTGGGGCTTGGGGAGGACACTGGGGTGGGGGCACAGGGACAATACCGGGACAGGACGTGGGGAGGATCCGGGACAGGATGTGACGCCTTGGGGGACAACACTGGAGCGGGATGGGGACACTGGGAAGATGCTGGAGCAGGACGGGTCCGGGGTGAGGAGATGCTGGGGCAGGGCAAGAGGCTGGGGGCGGTCACCGGGGCAGGACCGGGATACCGGGGCGGGACGGGGACACGGAGCTAAGCTTTGGGGGCTCCCGGGGGGCAGGACGGGGGGGGGACCTCGAGGCAGGACAAGAGCCCAAGAGAAGACGCCGGAGCGGCCCCGCCGGAGCAGCGACCGCGCGGGACGGGGACACCCCGCACCCCCTGCTCTCCCCGCAACCCCGGTTCCCGCTCACGGCGCCGGTTCCCGCACCGGCCTCCGGTGCACAACCCCCCAAAATCTCCTACCTTGCGCACGCGGGGCAGGGTCCCGCCGGCCGCCGCCAGCGCCCGGTACAGCTCGGCGGGGCCGGGGCTCTCCGGGGCCGCCGCCGCCGCCACCGCATCGTCCTTCGGCCGGAGCCGCCGCCGCCGCCGCCGCAGGGTCATGGCCGGGCCGGGCCGCCCCGAGCGCCGCTATATGGGCCCGGCGGGCGGGGACAGCGCGGGACGCGCCCGTTTCGGGCCAAAACACGCCCCTTTGTGGCTTAAACCGCGCCTATTTGTCCACAAGCCGCGCCTTGGCGCGGGAAGACCGGCCCCGTGTCCGGCATCGCCCCCGCCCCGGGTCCTGCGCGGGGATCGTGTGGGGGGTCCCGGGGGTCCAGCTTGGGGTCCTGGGCAGGGATCCCCTCGGGGTCCAGCGAGGGGGTCCAGGGGGGATGTCCTGCGCGGGGTCCAGCGTGAGCGACCGGGGGGAGGGTCCTGCGTGGGGTCCTGCTCGGGGACCCCGCGGGGTTCAGCGTGGGGGTCTGGGGGTGCTGCTGTGGGACATCAGGGAGAAGGGGGAGGTGGTGAGCGGGGGGTGCAGGGTGGGACACTGCCGGGGGTGTCACGGGTGGCACCGTGAGGTGCCAAGGAGGGGCCCCAGGGATTACCGCGGGGATGATTTTGGGGAAAAACCAGCGGGTTTCCGGGCGCAGAAGCGATGCCGGGCTCTGCCGCCCCCCCCGACAGCTGCCACCGCATCCCCCCCGGGCCACCACCCGCCGCCAAAGCCGCATTTGGGATTTAACGGGAGGCAGGAGCTGGAGCAGGGGCGGCCACAGCCCCGGGCCCGGCTCCCAGCGGGGGCGGCCGGAGGGGGGGATTTAAACCGTTCCTGCGCGATCCGTGCCCGCGCTGAGCCGGGACAGGGAGGAAAGAACAATTCCCGGAGGCAGCCGCGGTGTCTGGTGCGGACACGTCGCTCCGGCCGCCCCTCGCTGCGCCGCGCCGGGAGGCAGCGGGAATTTTCCAGCTGGAGTTGAGAGCTTTGCCCAAATGTTTGTTTAAAATTCGCCAAAAAAAATGAAGATCGTAACAATCCCGCTGGCGTTCCACCCAAACCTCCCGCCCACAGCCTGGCCTGGGGTTACCAGGAGGCAAAGTTTTCTCCTGTAGCGGAGCTGCTCCGGGTTGGAAGTGCTGGGGGAAGGATGGGATTGAGCCCACCACCCCATCCCGAGGCACCAACCCCCTGGGAATGAAGAGGAACGTGCCATTCTGTTCCCAAAACCTGGTAATGATTTGGCCCCCTGGCTGAAGCCATCCCAGAGTGTTTCCCCATCCCATTTCCTAGAGAAGCAAAGACAATTTTTGCTTAAAAATTCCCCATATTCTCATCCCGCTGCTGCCTCTGTTTCCAGGACGGGGCTGGATTTTCCCAGGGGGCCACAGCAGGAGCTGCAGACAAAGCTGGGAATGAGGAGGGACGAGCCCAGATGGCGACTCCCCCTCCCCACCATGTCTGAGCCCCGGGGGGACCCCAGGCCCCGGCGGATTTTCCCCTTGATCCGCTCACAACAGGCTCGTTTGCAGGAGGCTCTAATTAGGGAGAATTAGTGGGGGCATTTTGCGCAGCACCGGTTGCCCTTGGAGCAAACAGGATTTTAGAGGGACGTGGGGCAGTTTGCTCTGGGATTTATCCTTTCTGGAAGCTGTGGAAGCACAGGGATGCTCCAGGGGGATGCCCACTGTACCCACCACATCCCCAGGGATGCTTTGGGGGGGATGCCCACTGTACCCCCCCCATACTCCCTCCTGCTCTGTGCCTGTCCCCAGAGAAGGAGCCCTGAGTTCAGCTGCTCATCCCTGTGTGGGCTGGAAATCCCACCTGCCACCTGCTGGAAGCTGCATCTCCACCAAAAATGGGAATATTCAACATTAAAATGTCTTGACCAGGATTCCCAGTGGGGGAATTTTACCTGTGGGGGACAAGCCCCCCCCCCAGCCCCTTCTCTGGGGGCCCGAGATCCGCCCTGTGCTTCCCACCCCTTCCAGTGAACTGAGAGACTCCGACACCTCACGTGAATAAAACAAACTTTTAATAATGTACAGCAGAAATCGACAGCCTGGTTTTATATTAAACAAAAGATTTCCTATCTTACACCGTATGTACATTTGCATACTGAAGAGGTAAAGTGGCTAAGTGGCTATTTTCTTACAGTCCTTTGCTAAGAAAATGTACAAAACCAAACAAATCAAAGGGGCAGAGAAGTACCAAGAGTTCTGTCCTGCAGCCGCGTACCGCTGATGGACCCCCCTCCTCGTCCTGCACCGGGCTCCCCTCGGGACTGCCTGGAATGCTGCTTTTTCCCAGAGCTGCTGCCAGGCTTGGAGCCAGGCAGCCGATTCCTACGTGCTCCCAGCCAGCTCGGCGAGCACTGGCACCCCCGGGCACGGCTTTGCATGAAAAGTGCTGTGTAAATGCTACATGGTCAGCGCTCCCGCTGCGGATCCCACTTGGTTTTCCCCATCTCTCTCTCTCTCTCTCTCTTTCCCAAACAAGGTTTTTCCTTTCCTAGGATGCTGCTCACAGGGATGTCGCCCTTCCCTCGTCCCTTCTGCCTGACCCGGGCCGACCCCGCGCGCCGGGCGCTGTTTGGTTTGGCGCTGAGGCAGGTGCATGTGTGGCTACAGTTGGAAAAGGGGGGAAGTCAGTGCAAGTTCCGGAGCCTACGGAGCGTCCCTGGGAATTGGCCTGTGCGGAGACCCAACGGAGAGCCCGCTGTACCTACCAGTGGGGGACGTCCCTTCCTGCCCAGCCCGTCCTTCCCCAGCTCCCGGGGCATCCCCGGGGCCTGTGCCAGCAGCTGGAGGGTCCTCAGTGCTGGGCAGTGCCCGCCACCCCCTGGGCTTCTAAACGCGGGGACACGCGGAAACGGAGACTGGTGGGAACCTCTGGCTGGGACTGGAGCCGAGATAAACTGGGATGGGACGGGGAGCTGGACCCCGACCCCGCTCCGGGAGCCGGCAGCTCCTGCGGCAGCTCCAAACTCCTCGGGGGATGCAAAAAGGGCTCCTAACACGATGCAAAAACCACACTCCTCACTTTACACAAGGTCACAGACGGACAGGGGGAGTCGGGGGGACACACGGACAGGGACACAGACAGCAAGAACAGAGGGATTGAAATAAAGATTTAACCCCGGCGGCCGGAGCAGAGATGAAACCTCACCTTAGAGAGCAGGAGCAAGGTCGGAGTAGAAACAGTTCCAGTGTAAATCGAGCTGTGCATTTGGTTTTTTTCTTTTTTTTTTTTTGCAGTGATTTCTTTACAAACCAACAGGTCAAGAGGTAATAACTAGAGATTGTTTTTCTTCTCTTAGAAAGAATTAACAATATTCAAAAAAGTTAAAATCCAGACCCTCCCAGAAAATAATAATAATAATAATAATAATAATAACAACAACAACAACAATAATAAAAAAAAATAATAATCAAAACCACTCCAGTTAAAAGTTATGGCTTCAGAGTTCTCTACCGCAGACACTGACCTGACCCCCACACCACGACTGCCAAAATCAGCACGGCAGCCTCAGCCCTCACTTCCATGTTCACTGCAGACAAGTCATCCCACCTCTTCCTCACCCGGATTCAACGTTGAATGAAAAAAAATCCATGCAGGCCCCCCCACCCCACACTTAAGACATGGCCACTTCCACATCAGGAGATATTTATACACCTATATTAAAAAGATGGACGTTGATTTCCCAACCCACACCCGCTGTCAGATCCTGCCTGGTGCCTTTGGGAGGTGCAGGGCACCCCCAGCACCCGGCATCCCGTGGATCAGACCCCAGAATTCTGCCTGGATGGTGGACTTGGGAATTGTGTTCCCAGGAGAACTGCCCCCCGCTTTCCCCGCAGGCCGGGCGCGGCGCCTGCTCCATCTCTGACACATCTCAGCTCCCCCCTACCAAGAATTACAAACCCCAGGGGCTCGAGACAAAAAAAAAAAAACCCCCTGGATTCCAGGAGCGATTCTCAGTTCCTTATTTGTTTTGTCTTAAAAAAGGGACAGGGTGGCAGTGAGGTGACCTGGCGGGACGTTCCCGCGGCCGCGGGGAGCCGAGGATCCGCTCTGCAGCAGCCTGTCCAAGCTCCACAAACGCTCACAAACTCAGCACGGAAGAGCACCAGCAAACAGCTCACAAACGGGGACACTCGAGATTTTTGCACATGCACAGGAAGCACGGACAGAGATGAGCCACCCACGGGCAGACACCGGCACGGCTACGGAGGAGATGACCAGGCACAGGGACACGCGCGCCTCGCGCATGCAGACACCGGCGCCCCGACGGCCGCCGGGGCGCTCAGCTGGACTTCTTCAAGCTTAAGAAAAAAGGAGGGGGGAAAAAACGGGTTTCGTGAAGCTGATCAACTGTTCCGGCTCAGCCTCTCAGAAAGGGAGCACCATTTGTTTTGCTTTTTTCCGCATCGGCGTGCCAGTCCCCTGGAAAAAATCCTCTCAGAGCACGGCAAGAAAAACCTTCCCTTTCCCTTCCCCACTCCCGGCACCGGGCACCCCGGGTTGGCCCCGACCCCGCCGAGGGGTGCCCAGCGCGCGCCGAACTTTACAGGGATTTCCGTTAAAGGAGCAAAGAGTTACGATCATGGCTGAGAAGATCCCTCGGGTGAAGTCCCTCTCAAAGTCTCCACGCCCTCAGGAGGTGATCACAAAAGGTTTCGGATTGTTTCATACCCAAGCAGGGAAGAGAGCGGTTCCGTAGGCTCCGTCCCCCCCGCCTCGCAGCCTGCAGGTCCCGCTGTCTGGTTGTAGCAGTAGGTTGGGCTGAAACACGAGGTAGGCCTCCATCACATGTCTACTCTAGCACGGCAGCTCCTGTGCAGTTTCTTCCTGCTGAGGCTCAGGGCCTAAATTTTCACATCTTCCTGGACGCTGAGCTGGGAGAGGGTTTTCTTGATGCGGAGGGCGGTGAGCCGGGCGGCTCCGTTGGCGTACCAGCACTCCCGCATCATCTTGCCCATCACCCGCAGTGCCTGGGCAAGAAACAAGGAGGGATATCAGTGCTCTGCTCT